GAAAAACGCTTTAAAGGTCAAAATAGATGTCTTCCTCTACTCGGATATGGCTGTCAATTTTTTTCTACACTTTTGGGTGTATTTTGTGCAAGAAATTGCAGTAAAATAGTCTGCCTAAGAAAAATTGAATTTTTTTGAAAATTTCTCTTTTACGAAAAACGCTTTAAAGGTCATAAAAGTGGTCTTCCTCTACTCGGATCTGGCTGTCAATTTATTTCTACACTTTTGGGTGTATTTCGTGCAAGAAATTGCAATAAAATAGTCTGCCTAAAAAAAATTGAATTTTTTTGAAAATTTCTCTTGTACGAAAAACGCTTTAAAGGTCAAAATAGATGTCTTCCTCTACTCGGATATGGCTGTCAATTTTTTTCTACACTTTTGGGTGTATTTTGTGCAAGAAATTGCAATAAAATAGTTTGCCTAAGAAAAACTGAATTTTTTTGAAAATTTTTTTTTGACGAAAATCGCTTTATTGGTCATAAAATTGGTGTTCCTCTACTCGGATCGGGCTGTCAATTTTTTCCTACACTTTTAGGTGTATTTTGTGCAAGAAATTGCAGTAAAATAGTCTGCCTAAGAAAAATTGAATTTTTTTGAAAATTTCTCTTTTACGAAAAACGCTTTAAAGGTCATAAAAGTGGTCTTCCTCTACTCGGATCTGGCTGTCAATTTATTTCTACACTTTTGGGTGTATTTCGTGCAAGAAATTGCAATAAAATAGTCTGCCTAAAAAAAATTGAATTTTTTTGAAAATTTCTCTTGTACGAAAAACGCTTTAAAGGTCAAAATAGATGTCTTCCTCTACTCGGATATGGCTGTCAATTTTTTTCTACACTTTTGGGTGTATTTTGTGCAAGAAATTGCAATAAAATAGTTTGCCTAAGAAAAACTGAATTTTTTTGAAAATTTTTTTTTGACGAAAATCGCTTTATTGGTCATAAAATTGGTGTTCCTCTACTCGGATCGGGCTGTCAATTTTTTCCTACACTTTTAGGTGTATTTTGTGCAAGAAATTGCAATAAAATAGTCTGCCTACGAAAAATTGAATTTTTTTGAAAATTTCTCTTGTACGAAAAACGCATTAAAAGTCAAAATAGGTGTCTTCCTCTACTCGGATCTGCCAGTCAATTTTTTTCTACTCTTTTGGGTGTATTTTGTGCAAGAAATTGCAATAAAATAGTCTGCCTAAAAAAAAATGGAATTTTTTTGAAAATTTTTTTTTGACGAAAAACGCATTAAAAGTCAAAATAGGTGTCTTCCTCTACTCGGATATGCCTGTCAATTTTTTTCTACACTTTTGGGTGTATTTTGTGCAAGAAATTGCAATAAAATAGTCTGCCTAAGAAAAATTGAATTTTTTTGAAAATTTCTCTTTTACGAAAAACGCTTTAAAGGTCATAAAATTGGTGTTCCTCTACTCGGATCGGGCTGTCAATTTTTTTCTACACTTTTGGGTGTATTTTGTGCAAGAAATTGCAATAAAATAGTCTGCCTAAGAAAAATTGAATTTTTTTGAAAATTTTTTTTTAAGAAAAACGCTTTAAAGGTCATAAAAGTGGTCTTCCTCTACTCGGATCTGGCTGTCAATTTATTTCTACACTTTTGGGTGTATTTCGTGCAAGAAATTGCAATAAAATAGTCTGCCTAAAAAAAATTGAATTTTTTTGAAAATTTCTCTTGTACGAAAAACGCTTTAAAGGTCAAAATAGATGTCTTCCTCTACTCGGATATGGCTGTCAATTTTTTTCTACACTTTTGGGTGTATTTTGTGCAAGAAATTGCAATAAAATAGTTTGCCTAAGAAAAACTGAATTTTTTTGAAAATTTTTTTTTGACGAAAATCGCTTTATTGGTCATAAAATTGGTGTTCCTCTACTCGGATCGGGCTGTCAATTTTTTCCTACACTTTTAGGTGTATTTTGTGCAAGAAATTGCAATAAAATAGTCTGCCTACGAAAAATTGAATTTTTTTGAAAATTTCTCTTGTACGAAAAACGCATTAAAAGTCAAAATAGGTGTCTTCCTCTACTCGGATCTGCCAGTCAATTTTTTTCTACTCTTTTGGGTGTATTTTGTGCAAGAAATTGCAATAAAATAGTCTGCCTAAGAAAAATTGAATTTTTTTGAAAATTTCTCTTTTACGAAAAACGCTTTAAAGGTCATAAAATTGGTGTTCCTCTACTCGGATCGGGCTGTCAATTTTTTTCTACACTTTTGGGTGTATTTTGTGCAAGAAATTGCAATAAAATAGTCTGCCTAAGAAAAATTGAATTTTTTTGAAAATTTTTTTTTAAGAAAAACGCTTTAAAGGTCATAAAAGTGGTCTTCCTCTACTCGGATCTGGCTGTCAATTTATTTCTACACTTTTGGGTGTATTTCGTGCAAGAAATTGCAATAAAATAGTCTGCCTAAAAAAAATTGAATTTTTTTGAAAATTTCTCTTGTACGAAAAACGCTTTAAAGGTCAAAATAGATGTCTTCCTCTACTCGGATATGGCTGTCAATTTTTTTCTACACTTTTGGGTGTATTTTGTGCAAGAAATTGCAATAAAATAGTTTGCCTAAGAAAAACTGAATTTTTTTGAAAATTTTTTTTTGACGAAAATCGCTTTATTGGTCATAAAATTGGTGTTCCTCTACTCGGATCGGGCTGTCAATTTTTTCCTACACTTTTAGGTGTATTTTGTGCAAGAAATTGCAATAAAATAGTCTGCCTACGAAAAATTGAATTTTTTTGAAAATTTCTCTTGTACGAAAAACGCATTAAAAGTCAAAATAGGTGTCTTCCTCTACTCGGATCTGCCAGTCAATTTTTTTCTACTCTTTTGGGTGTATTTTGTGCAAGAAATTGCAATAAAATAGTCTGCCTAAGAAAAATTGAATTTTTTTGAAAATTTCTCTTTTACGAAAAACGCTTTAAAGGTCATAAAATTGGTGTTCCTCTACTCGGATCGGGCTGTCAATTTTTTTCTACACTTTTGGGTGTATTTTGTGCAAGAAATTGCAATAAAATAGTCTGCCTAAGAAAAATTGAATTTTTTTTTAAATTTCTTTTTTACGAAAAACGCTTTAAATGTCATAAAAGTGGTCTTCCTCTACTCGGATCTGGCTGTCAATTTTTTCCTATTTTTTTAGGTGTATTTTACGCAAGAAATTGCAATAAAATAGTCTGCCTAAGAAAAATTGAATTTTTTTGAAAATTTCTTTTTTACGAAAAGAGTTTTAATGGTTATAATAGGGGTCTTCCTCTACTCGTATTTGGCTGTCAAAATTTTCTACACTTTTTGGTGTAGTTTGTGCTACATTTTGTAACAAATTTGTGTGTAATGAATTTTTTTTTTTTTAGAAGAATGTCAATGTAGTAGATTATACTAAGGGTATTTTTCGAATGGAATTGGGGTTGAACCTAATTTTTTTTTATTTTTAATGTTTTTTTGAAGTTTTTTGTTGTTTTAATGCAGTATCTTGGTTTTAAAATTTTCTAGGATCGTAATCGATGTGAATTTCACCGACCTTGTAAATTATATGACTATAAAATAAAAATTTTGCCAAACAAAAATTCGGTAGCTAAAAAGTTTGTTTTGTAAAAAATCGTATGAAAAGAAATTCTGTGAATTGCTAATTTGAAAAATGAAAATTATTAATTATAATTTTAATGTCAATGAGGTAATTTGTTCAAAAAAAGAAAATACAAAAAAATAGTGAAACACTTGAATATTCACGCGCCACATATTGCTTCCAAGTCGTAGTGATCGGTACAAGTGAGTTATGAGCAAAGTATCACTGGACCACTTCCAGTATAGACTACTTTCAAATATAATTCGTGTTTTTTGTCACATCTTTGTATAAAATATGACCAAATATGTTTAAAAAAAACATATCATACCATCACGAGTAACGTTCCTCTTTATCTTTTAGGAATACGATAAGAATATTGATGAATCACAATAATGTACATTATTGTAAACGAATTTAAATTTCTATTAAATGTATAATTAATTCAATTCTTTATCTTATTAACTTATGTAAAAACACTTGTTGATTCCATTGTGATTCTTGGCAGGCTTTCCATAAACATTATTTAACATCGGTGAAAAGACAACGCAAAAACCTTAACGACGCCTATTACATTTGCAAGACAAAGGCTCAATCTTGTGAAATTCTTCTTTATTTGTCTGTTTCGTCAATGAATTTTCAAAATTACAAAATCTCACAAAATTAAAAGCTTAGTTTTAAGTAAAACACATATATAAGATAAAATTCATTTCACATGAATATATTTATCTCCAAAAACTGTTATGTTTTTCAAATAAATTTAAGATGATTTTTTTCGTTTTAATTACGAAAAACGAGAACAAAATTTTTTATTTGATAAGGAAATTACTCAAAAACGTGTGCGTGATTCTATTTAAAAAGAATTTTTTTTTTCAAAAAGTACATTATTAAAATTAAAAAACTGAGATTTTCAAATTACATATTCAAAAATTTATGTTTCATAAAAAATTGTTTTCTTAAATTTTAAATAAACGACAATTTCGATTTAGAACATTAAAAATGTTATAATTTTGTGAAAAAATATTTTTTAGCTTAACAAAAAAACATGTTTTGTCAACATTTTGTAAATAAAATTAATTTTTTGTTTAGAAAAAAATTTTCTAATTACCCGATTGTAAATGAATTTTTTTATAAATATTATAATACAGTTAAAGAAAATATTAAATCGAATTAAAATCAATAATATAATGCACAAAAGTTTATAAAATAATAATACATAAATTGAGCTGCCGGATCAAAGAAGGGCACATAACTAATGTAATTCAAATGGATTATGTGCCCTTCTTTGATCCGACAGCTCAATTGTATAGTTTATTTAAATTTAATCATTACAATGCATTTTGATAATTCTCGTGATTAATAATAATTTTATTTTTTTGGCAAATTAAAAACTAAATAAATAAGAAGAAAATATATTAAGGTATAAAGCAAAAGAAATTTTAATCTCAGTTGCAAGAAAAGAATATATATCTATTTACGTACATACAGACAGATGAAAAAAAATTTCTAATAAATTCTAAAAATTCTCAGCGAAACATTGTATAAAACTTTTAACATTTGTTATTTTATTTTATACAGTAATAAATGTCAGTAAGTAAAATATCACACAGTTCAGTTTTTCAGCACATATATAACACTTTGGTTGACATTCAACTTTTTAAGATATACTGAAAATTCGAATCAAATTTCCTATACTTTTTTTTTATTCTCATTAAAGTTAAATGTATATCAGTTTATAAAAATCATGACTTTTTAAAAAATCTACAAACTCAAGTAGAATGAATAGCGAAGATTATTGTAAACTGTACACATTTATATACAAACTGCAAAAGCTTGTGTCTATGTACAAATCTTTTATGCCTCGAGAGCAATTGGTTCTTCAATTTTTTCTTCCTTCTTCTTTTTGGCAGACTCTATAAAAATTGTTAATGAAAAATTAATATTTAAAAATTTTGAAAATTAATAGAATTTTTAAGTTGAAAATACCTTTTTCTTTCGTTGGCAATTCTTCAGGTACATTTGGTAATTGTATTTCTTGAGGTACTTCAGGAATTGTTTCCTGTGAATCCAGTGCCAATAATGCGTCAAGTTCAGCTTCAGCTTCAGCTTCGTCTTCATCAGTCAATGTTCCCATGAGAACTTCATTTATTTCATTTTGTTTTTCAACACCTTCTCGTGTCTCATCCATAACTTTCTCAATATCTTCGATAGACAAAACATCATTCAATTTTTTGAGCGCTGTATTTCCCACTTTTAATCCATCGATTACTTTGATTTCAACTTGAGCAAATTCCAAATCGTGTGCCAATCTTTCTAAATTATCCAATTGGCTATCAGTTTTAGAGAGAATTTGTTCTTGAAATTTCTTTTTTCGTAATAACAATAATGCTCGACTAAAAAAATAATATTATATTAATTATAAATAAAGATCAATTTTCTTTTCTTAATAATGCAAATATATTATTAGTAAATAATTATTATTGGTCTTTGTTTCTTATGTAGTAAAATTATTGTTTATTTTATTTTTTTTTTAATTGAAAAATCAATTAATTGTTTATAATATGACAGTTTTTTGATATTAGTTATATATTTCTAATTAATTTATTTAAAAAAAATACTCACTCTTTTTGTCCTTTTTCGATTAATTTTTTAGCAATTTGCCTTTCTTTTTCAATACTTTGTTCAATTCTTTTTTGATATTGTTTTATCTTATCTCTCGTTTGTTTCAATTGCTAAAAAATGATTATAAAATTATTGAATGATAATTCATTTTTGAGGTTAGAAACACAGTAGTATGAAAGAACTTACTAAAACAGCTTTGTCCTGTTCTGTGACACGACTCACATTCTTCTTTTTTGAAAAGAATATTCCCATTTTTTACGAAAAATTTAATACAACTGTCTAATTACAATAGTTAATTGACAAAAACGTACAATTAAAAATTATTTTGACAGCAGCAACACCTGATAAAAGAAGGCACAGACGCCATTTTTATAGATACAGCAAGTTACAGTATAACTTACGAAAATTACTCCGATGTAAATAGCTGTTGATATTAATGCATCCGCTTTCTATTAAGTTACCAACTATCAATATCTATATACTTACCACACGAGGCAGTTACCAACAGAATCTGGAGACAATAAAAGTGCGTCAACAAACTGGCATTACTAGCGACACTGTGATATTAGCGTTCTACCTTGGTTCTACATAACATGTGAATATTTTGACAAGTTTGTTTTCATATTATTACTTAAAATTTTTTTATAATTATATGAAATATAGTTTAACTTTTTTTGTATGACATTTATCGCATTAATAATAATAGGAGATTCAGTATGTCTACTTACAACATTGAACATTGTGTTTTATTAAGAATATTATTATATTCAAATTCTTTTCATAATTTAAATCGCTGGGTTATTGGGAAAAAAGGACACGTCATAGTTAAATCAAACGGACGTATCCTTTTTTTCCACTAACCCAGCGAAATATTTGTTTACGTCCGCATGAAAAGGGACCACTTTGTCAATTTTATTTTAGGAGATAATCGCAATTTTCTAAAAGTGGTTCAGATTTTTGATTTTCTTTTTTTTTTATTGCTGAAAAACAAACTACAAAGCGTTCCGCACGTTAAATTATGCGTTCATGATGACTTCATTATAATTAAAACAACTAATATTCTTATATTTAATTAATATAAGAACTAATGGTAGATTTTAATTTCAAACTCGTTTTTCTCTAAATTAGGTTTTTGGCACTTCTAATTTTGAATCTCTATAACTTAGCGAATTTTTCACTTAGAGGGGCTTAAGATCACTCAAATTGTTTGAAATTTAATCAAGAATACACTCATGCAGATAAGTACAATTGAGGAGGTCAATCAAATAACTCGATTAGCGTTCGAAACATCGCCCTTATGGTATTTCGACGCATCAAAAATAGTGAAAAATTAAAATTCAAAATTTTAATTTTTTGAAAACACTATCTTGTAGGGAATAAAAAAACACAACTTTTTTCCTTAATACTTTTTTTTGTAGAACCAATATTAATTAAATTTAAAATTAAAAACACCAAAAATTTTTTTTTCAAATTTAATTAAATTTTTAAACATTAATCGTTGTTTTGAAGTCAAATGTTAATGAATTAACTTGCAATTTTTTATACAAGTTCATTTGAGTCTGCTGAAACCAAAAAAATCATAAAAACTTTAAAAATTATTTATTGTTTAATTATTTTTTATTGTAAACAATGACCTGTCAGTAATATATTTTTCTTACTTTCGATGAGGAAAAGTCTGTGGTGAAGTTTTGAATTGATCAAACTTCCAGTGAGAAAGTTGTTCCTCGGTATTCAAGGAAGTTTTTTGGAAAATTTCAACAAAATTTATTAAAAAATAAAAAAGTTATACAATTTTTAAAGAATACGCGCCGCGTGACACATTCGCTCCAGTAGACAGTACACATTAAGGGCAAGTCCAACATGTGAAATGTAAACAAACATGAAATGTAAACAAACCATGCACATTTTTTCGCAGTTCTCATTTGAGTAGAAAATAAAAATTTGTCGTTTTCTTTATGAAAATGGTAAATTAATGTATTAAAGTTGGTTACTATACTTTATTTAACTAATTATATGAAAAAATAAGTACAATTATAATGAAATGAAAAGTGCACTGAATTAGCAATTTTTTGAAGGTTTCGAAAAAAAAACCATTTGAGTATATCTGAGGCACGGACGTTGAGCGCCTAGGTGGGAGAAGAATGTTGAGCCATTGGACGGTCACATCTTGGAAAGGGTAAAATTCTGAAATTTTACCCCTTCTCTCACTTTCTCCCACCTAGGTCCTCAACGTCCGTGCCTCAGATATACTCGAATGCCTAAATTTTTCGTAACCTTGAAAAAATTCATATTTCAGTGTACTTTTTATTTCATTATAATTATACTTATTTGTTCACATAATTAGTTCAATAAAGTATAGTTACCTAGTCTAATATATAAATTTACCATTTTCACAAAGAAAACGACAAATTTTTATTTTCTACCCAAATGAGAAGTGCGAAAAAAATGAGAAAATTGCTAATTCAGTGTACTTTTCATTTTATTATAATTATACTTATTTGTTCAGAAAAGTTGTTAAAAGAAGTATAGTAACCTAATACAATATATCAATTTACCATTTTCACAAAGAAAGTTACAAATTTTTATTTTCTATTCAAATGAGAACTGCGAAAAAATGGGTATGATTTTTTTAGATTTTGAACAGTTTTTTCGCAGTTCTCATTTGAATAGAAAATAAAAATTTGTAACTTTCTTTGTGAAAATAGTAAATTGATATATTGTATTAGGTTACTATACTTCTTTTAACAACTTTTCTGAACAAATAAGTATAATTATAATAAAATGAAAAGTTCACTGAATTAGCAATTTTCTCATTTTTTTCGCACTTCTCATTTGGGTAGAAAATAAAAATTTTTCGTTTTCTTTGTGAAAATGGTAAATTTAAATATTAGACTAGGTAACTATACTTTATTGAACTAATTATGTGAACAAATAAGTATAATTATAATGAAATGAAAAGTACAATGAAATAACAATTTTCTCAAGGTTACGAAAAATTTAAGCATTCGAGTATATCTGAGGCACGGACGTTGAGGACCTAGGTGGGAGAAAGTGAGAGAAGGGGTAAAATTTCAGAATTTTACCCTTTCCAAGATGTGACCGTCCAATGGCTCAACATTCTTCTCCCACCTAGGCGCTCAACGTCCGTGCCTCAGATATACTCAAATGGTTTTTTTTTCGAAACCTTCAAAAAATCGCTAATTCAGTGCACTTTTCATTTCATTATAATTGTACTTATTTTTTCATATAATTAGTTAAATAAAGTATAGTAACCAACTTTAATACATTAATTTACCATTTTCATAAAGAAAACGACAAATTTTTATTTTCTACGCAAATGAGAACTGCGAAAAAATGTGCATGGTTTGTTTACATTTTATGTTTGTTTACATTTCACATGTTGGACATACCCTTAATATATTCTGGTACATGACAACAAATCCTTATACTATTTTTAAGGTATTTCTCCTGCAAATCGAATTTCGCTTGAATTTTTTTAAACTCTGGGGAAAATGTTCCTTTTTATGTACTATTATAAGTGGTAAAAATCCCAGTATATTACTCGCTTGAGAAAGAGAGAGAAAACGTGACAGTGAAGTGAGTTCACGCATAACACTTTATATGGATACCAGCCCCTCAAATGCAGAAAGAAAATTGTCAACAAGCGAATATTACAACAAACATTAAATTACACAGGCCAACAAAATTAGTAAACTTTTTTGATGCGGCAAATATCAGACCTGTTTCTGATAGGTTTTTTCATGCCAAACACGAATCCGTAAACAAAAATTTCCTATCAGCTCTAGTTTTTGAGAAAAACGTGTTTAAAATGTTCAAAAATCGCGTTTACGGCTAACTTTGAGTACCTCTAACACTGAAACAAAAGGTTGTAGAACCTTCCACTTAGGCTTAATTTGTAGCTTAATGTTTTTAACTATTATTCCCAAAAATGACCTATCTTGCACCATAACCTCAAAGTCATTTGTTATCCATTTTTGATTCCCAAATATTAATTTTGTAAAAGTTTGAGCGCGTACATCTATATTCCCTGGCGGATTCGATTTGCGTAATGTCTACTTAACTAAGCGGACTTTAGGTAGACATTAGGTAGACATGTAAAAAAACGTATAAAAAAGCTATTAATCGACTTATTATGATAAAAAAAAGTTGATAAAAGGGTAAATGAATGTTTATAGAGTAAATTCGTACAAAATTTGTAATTAATAAAGCAATAAATAATTAATAATGAATGGAAATGTGCGCGAGGTACCTGATCAGTTCAGCTGTACAATTATTTTCGTGCTATTTTCATGAAAAGAATATAAATTAACTGCAAAAACAATTGATATTTATAAAAAAGTGTAAAATTGATTTAATTTGAGTGTTTGCAATACGAATTATTAAATAATAATTAAGTTTTTATCAAATGTGAATAGTGTTGTGAAAACCTGTGAAAACTAATGAGTTACTACATTACCGATCGCATATGAGAGATGGCGCCACCAGTTTTTACAATACAACAGTGCGAGCTTGTTTTCTTCCAAGCTTTTGCTTTGAAAGAAAATAAAAAGTGAATTTTAAAATGCAGAATAAAGTTATACAAATAATTATTGATTTCATAATTGTTTCTCGTCCAAAATTACGGACATGATTGCAGCTTTTTTGTTACACTCATCGAGAACTTTTTATTATCATATGCGATCGGTAATGTAGTAACTCATTAGTTTTCACAGGTTTTCACAACACTATTCACATTTGATAAAAACTTAATTATTATTTAATAATTCGTATTGCAAACACTCAAATTAAATCAATTTTACACTTTTTTATAAATATCAATTGTTTTTGCCGTTAATTTATATTCTTTTCATGAAAATAGCACGAAAATAATTGTACAGCTGAACTGATCAGGTACCTCGCGCACATTTCCATTCATTATTAATTATTTATTGCTTTATTAATTACAAATTTTGATAAACATTCATTTACCCTTTTATCAACTTTTTTTATCATAATAAGTCGATTAATAGCTTTTTTATACGTTTTTTTACATGTCTACCTAATGTCTACCTAAAGTCCGCTTAGTTAAGTAGACATTACGCAAATCGAATCCGCCAGGGTTCCTTGAGGTTAAGGTGCAGCAATGTAATTTTTATGAACTACAATCAAGGGATAAATTGAATTGAAGCTCAACAAGAAGGTTCACTCACCTTCGGTTTTATTGACTAGAGTTATTCAAATATTACCAAATAAGTTCTGCAGTTAAATACTGGTTACCAACAATTTTGAGGTTATTATAGTGAATAATATAATTTTTAGGACTTATAGTCTAAAGTTCAAACTTTATTTTAAGTTCAAATAAAAGGTTCTATGATCCTTTTTTCTTTGC